ATTAAATAAATTAAAACAGAAATTGCCTTATCTGAATAATGCTAAAGTGTGTTGAAAAGAATTTTTCTTACTGAAAAATACAGCATTAGTAAAATTCCATCCTGCATTCCATATTGGTTATGTATTTGTCAGCTTTTATGGACATCTGCAAAGGCAACTTACAAATATTCTGGATAAGTAAATAATGTTTTGCTGTTGAATGACATGCTTTCAACTATTTCCAAGGAAAGGAATTTTTTTTCTCACTATGTACTGTATTTTGTATACATTTCTTCCTTTTCTTACCTTATTATCTAAAATTATTTAAATAAAATATTTGTGTGTGTAGAACTTTATTCTCCTCTCTTGCTTTTCTTATCAGTATATTCTAAACACCCAAGAATAAGAAAACCAGAGTTATATTGGCATCCTAACATATATCTAATGATCTAATTTCTGCTGTTTGCAATAGTCTTTCTGAAGATTTTCTGCCATATGAAATGCTAGTTAGTTCTATCAGATTTAAAATATTCTCTGTATTTTACTGGTTAGAATGTTGATTATTGGAGAGAACTAGATTTAAACCAATGTCCAATCATAAAGTTCACTGGATGACCTTTCTCTATTTTCATTCTTCCTCATCTAACTTCTGGGCTGACTTCTGAGATTAAAATTGGAGGTTGCTGTAAATAGAAACATTTTATCTTCTTTCTGGTGGTGGGATTCAGCCAGTTTGTACCATTTGGCTGAACCAGTAGCTAATTTTTTGTTGTCCAGGCCCAGAATGGACTTCCGGAAGCTGCATCCACACAGAGAACCGATTGTTCACATATTTGAATTCCACCATTGCTTCTTTCTATAACCTGCTCCTGCAGAGACAGCATGAATTAGGGAGTTTAGCTTAAACAAACTGATATTTAATCCATCTAAAAATAAATATTATCATTTGAGGTGTCTGATCAACTTGTAAATCATATTCAACTTGGCCTTGGCAGAGTTGTAATTATTTAGAAGCAACAGTATCAGTTTGGATTTACAGATGGGGATGGTAGTCAAGAGTGTTTCTAACTAACTTAATTTGATATCCCAGTTCATCTATTAGTTCATTTTTGTCTGATTTATTCATAGCTATTTGAGAATTGTTACTTCCATATTGGATTTCTGCATTGGGACTTCCCTTAGAAATAATACATAAACTTCAAGAAAATATTAACAGGCTGTGGTTTAAGACTAGTTAAAAGCAAAAGCAATATCACTTAGACCAGCGGTTCTCAACCTGTGGGTTGCGACCCCATTTGGGGTCGAACGACCATTTCACGGGGGTCGCCAAACAACGCGATCCGCCATTTTTTCCACCATTTTCCCCCTTTTCCTTAGCTCTGCTACTCCCTCTTATTCTATTGGCTTTTGAAAGCCAATAGAATAGACTCTCTTGAACATAGTCTAATTCTATTGGCTTTCAAAAGCCAATAGGAATTGTCCAGGGCTGTCTCTGCCCTGCTGAGCCCGCCAAAAGCCCCAGTCTGCAAACGGTGCTGCAAGGGGAACAGTCTGCAGAGCTTCCCTCCCTGCTGAGCATCTAAAAAGTAAGCAAAAGAGGGGCGGGGTGGGAGGTGGGAGGCCGGTGGGTGCAGGGAGGGTTGCTGGCGCGCGTGGGGCCCGGCAGGTGCCTTACCTGCCTTGGGCTGGGCCAGCTAGTGGCCCAGCTGGTGGTCGCCCTGCGCCGCCGCGGCCGCCCTGGAGCACCTGGGCCTGCCTGCCGCCGCCCCAAACGGGCGGCGGCCAAGGTAAGCCTAGCGGGGCAGCGGCGGGCGCAGGGAGGTTTGCTGGCGCGCATGGGACCCGGCGGGTGCCTTACCTGCCTTGGGCTGGACCAGCTGGTGGCCCAGCCGATGGTCGCCCTGCCTGCCGTGGCCGCCCAGGAGCGCCCAGGCCTGCCTGCCGCTGCCCCTTGCCGGCTATGCCTCAGCGCTCCCGGGCCGGTAGTCCTCGACTTATGACCGGGGTCGCGGCTATAAAAAGGTTGAGAACCACTGACTTAGACATATATACAGCTTCAAAATGTTTTACAGCCCTCTCTGAGTGGTTTACAGAGTCAGCATATTGCCCCCAACAATCTGGGTCCTCATTTTACCAGTCTCCGAAGGATAGAAGGCTGAGTCAATCTTGAGCCAGTCAGGATCGAACTGCTGGCAATTGGCAGAATTAGCCTGCAATACTATATTTTAACCACTGTGTCACCATGGCTCATTGAAGCTAAAGGAATCATATGTTAATTTTGTTCCAGTTTTGTGAATATGTTTGTTAAGGGTGCTATCTTTGGCTTTTTTTTCTTCCTGATTAATTGGAGTCTTTTTGGTATTGCTTCTTCCCAAAATTTTTCCTTTGCTTGAGTGTTTTTTGAATGTTGTCAATTTCAGGGCCTTTTGTGTTGCCCCAATAGGTGTGGGGGGGGGAAGGAAATAGTGGGAGGATGGGGGACTATGGTGACTAGATGATGGAATGGCTTTCACAGATTGGTGTGTCTTGTTTATTTATACTAAGGAACTTGAATATTGCAATACTGTGACATGACAAACTGTAACATCAAAATCTATATTAAGTTCAGTAGCTTTTAAAATATCTTTGGATAAGAATAAACACTAATTTTAGTGTTCAAGTCTTTAAATTTTCTTTTACTTCTTTAATACTTCCAGATGTCTGACATTTGGATGTTGTTGCTTATTACAAATTTAAATTCATCAAAACAACTTGATGCTAAATATAATTTTAACTTTCATTATTATCTTACATTTATCTCTGTCAGACTATAAATTAAAAAAATGAAAATATGTTGCAAGTGCTTCGTTGAATATTATCTAATATTTTAAAATATTGTTTATTTAATAAAGTAATGGAGATCTTTTTTCCATTTGCCTGACTTTGTTTGTTTACTGGTCCCATAACTTTACTGATGTATTTATTGTCCTTATTGGCTGCTATCTGCAATTTTATTGTATTATAAAATATATATTTTCTTTTTTTTTGGCTTAAAAAAGAAGCAATGATTCTGTGTTGTTTTGAGCTAGCACAGTGTAGAAAGACAGAGTTTAAAATTTTAATTCTAATATAAATAAACTGTAAAAACATTTTAGCAAAATATTTGTTTTCTCTCCCTCCCCCTTCCCCTCCTCCTTCTCCTCCTTCCCTTCACCCTCCTCCTCCCCCTCTTCCTCCTCCCCCTCTCTCAAGGGCTAACTATAGAGGTTTACTTGTGAAATAGAAGGGAAGTAATTGATTCTGAAATATGTTGATTATTTGTTGGAGTAAATATAACAGAATTGAGATGTATACAGGATCACTTTTGATTTCAGAATAAAATAATCATTTCATAGCAGTCAAAAATGGTACAAAGAACTGCAGTAGACAACCTGCTTTGCACATTATAGCATTTATGTTGCTTTTTGAATGGTATCATTGTCAGTGGGCCATTTTTTAAAAAAAAATTAGTGGGAAAATTCTCCTAAGCTTTTGTATTGGAAAATGGAATGCATATTGAAGTTATTTGCATTTCTGAAGTTTCTTAATTTTTTTACTAATTAAGAATATACCCATTTTTAAAAATATTGACTATGAAGTTAAAGCATCATTTACAGTTTTTAACTAAGCTGAGAAAAATTTACAAAATTTTAAGTGCTCTTTTGAAATAAAGCTACACACTAATTTCAGAGAAATCAGAAAAAATCTTATTTATATGATTCATATATATCTCACATTGTAATGAAAAATTACTTATTTGTTAAGGATAGCATTTTACAAACCTTATGCAGAATATACTGTATCCTAACATTTGAATGATAGCATTGTCCATCACTGATTTGAGTTGCTAAGGAACTTGAATATTGCAATACTGTAACATCAAAATTATATTTAAGTTAAGTAACTATTTAGATATCTTTTGATAAGAATAAGCACTAGGTTTAGTGTTCAAATCTTAAATTTTCTTTTGCTTCTATAATACTTCTAGATGTCTGACATTTGGATGTTGTTGCTTATTACAAATTTAATTAAATTCATCAAAATAATTTGTTGCTAAATATAATTTTAACTTCCATTGCTATCTTACATTTAGCTCTGTCATAGAGTGTAAATGAAAAAATGAAAATAACTATGTTGCAATGCTTCATTGAATATTATCTAATATTTTAAAATATTGTTTATTTAATAAAGTAATTGAAGAGTTTTTCCATTTCTATTTATTACAATGGCAGATGCTTTCTGAGCATTTTTAAAAAAGATCAAGTAAGCGTCTTTAAAATACAAAACGAACTGTTTTAGAACATGCATTTTTCAAAATTGATTCTGAAACTTTATTTAGCTATTGCTTATTGCTCAGATTTGCAATAGTTGACAATAGTCTACGTGAAAAAAGATCAGAATTAATTTGGAAATCTAAGGTTGCTTTAAAAAAAATCCCAAGATTTTCTGGTTCATGTGTAGTGATATTGAACTCTTTATCATATGCTTTAATTTGGGCATGGAGTTGACCTGATGCTGTGCAGGGACACCACTGCATCCCTTCATTCAGTTCACTCTAATTATCACCAACTTCCTGGGGAGTCTGCTTAGCTGGAACCAGCCGTGAATGTTTGTTGTTAAGTAGTAAGATATTAGACTGTTATATTTAACAAAGTGGTTTTAGACTCTGAATTTACATATAGATGATCAGTGTACTTACTATGTTCAGATTTGTATTTGTGTATTATTTCTCTAAATATGACTTGTGCTTCAGTATAAAGTGAAATTTACTGTTGTATTTCCTTATTTGCATTGTGTGTACCTGTCTTCATTATCTATATCTATATCCTTCTCTTGTATGTCTGATTTTGAGTGCTGGGATTTGTATATGTATATAATCTACACAATGTATTCATATGCGATTTATGTCAGTTTTTGTTCTTTAAACATTAATAGCTGAGGGAAATAGAAGTAAACATTGGCTGGCAGATGTATATTAAAATGTAGTCATTTTTTCTTTTCAGGTCCATGTGAAAATGGCCGATGAAGCAGTCTGTGTTGGCCCAGCTCCCACTAGTAAAAGCTACCTCAACATGGATGCTATCATGGAAGCCATTAAAAAAACGCAGGCCCAAGCTGTGAGTCTGAATGAATCTCTCCTCTGCAGCTGTTTCATATATAGAAAGCAAGGACACTAGAGTTTGTATTTAAAGATTAAAAAAAAGTGAGGGGAAGAATGATTGAATATGCTATTTCAGTTTAGTTCATGTCACATGAGTTAAATGTGGCCGAAATTGCTACTGGAAATCAAAGGCTTTGTAGCATCTGGCAGTGCCGGTCGCTGATCCTGCAGGTGGCTGCTGGATTCAGCTTTCACACCAGGGAGCAGCTTCAGTTCATTTCCAAATTTGCTAGGGAAAAAAATCCCAATTAGTTTAGAGCACTAACCCTTTCTGTGCCATAGCTTCTTTTTTGGATCTTCCTTACAATAGTGTGTGATTTTATTTTTACAATAGGCTTATTTTCAAACTTTTTAATGATCTCGCTTATATGAGAATGTGCATGTGTTAAAACACTTTGCATGGAAATACGTGGTGCATCCAGATATTATTTTTAAATGTATTGTGTTACTGATGAAATGTATTGGAATAGATCAGTGTTCATACTAATTCCATCTATTCTGTTTCTTCTGATGAATTAGGACTAGATTCAAAATTTTACAGGAATGCTTGTTTTTTAAAACCACTGTTTTAGGGCTGTTATTGCATCATTTAAAACCACTGTTTTAGGGCTGTTATTGCATCATTGAATGCAAATGTGGTCTTCAGAACTGCTGAATGCAAAAGCATCTTTAAATAAAATGCGAGGGATGGGAGTCGGCCAACACCAGCAATTACCCTGGAGTGGCTCAATTAGCATTATCATTTCTTTTGAAATAAATGTTTCAGTATGGTGCATTTGCAAAGGGGGAGGGGGTGGAAAAATAGCAAACAACATTAATTAACCAACAGATACTGCAGATGTTTACATTGTTAGTTAAGAAGACTTAATAGAGATAAAAATAGTTCAGGCTTTCATCTTTAGTTCACTGCATATATTTTCTTAGTTGTGCATTTACGTATGATTCAAATTATGAAACTGATTATTTTTTCACCTTGCTGTATTTGGTAATTATATGAAGTGTTGTTTGTAATATAGAAATTTGCACAATATATTCATTATTTTGGTGTAGGGCATATTAACATTTTATCTTAGTCTACTGATTTTATATTCTGTTTTCTTTGAAGTGAAACTTTGCATTAATATTGATGGTATAGCCCTGAACTTGGGAGACACAACAGTTAGGAAAATGATTTGGAGAGAAAAACAGACTATATAAACTTGGTAAAGTAGAGAATGTTACAGACTTGAATGGTGTGGAAAATGTTATGCTGAAGGAAATGTAACAAATTATGGGAATGGTTTAATTAAGTGAAAATAAAATAGATAGAAAACTTGTCAAATATCTATTTCTGTATCTCTTTGAAGATTATGATTTTCAACTAGGTCGATCCATATTTGGTGTATCTAGAGTAACATGTTTGGTCTTCTCTATATAATTAAGTGTACACACTTAAATGCAGAGTATTAAATCAGAAATGTGTGACCTGGAATGATGTCACACAGATCATATAATGTTGGGTGACCTGCTTTATTGTGTAATTTTAAGTAAATTGATATACTTGTTGCTTATTTTTTTAAATGTGACACCTATGTATATAGGGCCTAAAAGTGCTAGATATAGTAGATGAATTGAGTTTTTTTAAAATGTAATTAGTGCAAATATTTCAAATAGAAAGATATTTTTTCACAATGAATTTCAAAAGAAATGATTCAGCAGAATAAATTCATCTAATATAAAGTAAAAGCTGAATGTACATTGTGCAACTTAAGGTTCTGCATGCCTGGCATTAGAAAACTTAATTTTGTCTTCTATTTTTTTAAGGTTCATCCAGGATATGGATTCCTTTCAGAAAATAAAGAATTTTCCAAGCGTTTGGTAAGTTTTAAAAAATTATTCCATTTGTTTCCTCAGATAAATTATGTTGTACATAAGTGCAGAGTATATATTTTATTAGTGGTATGATTTATACATTGAAGTTGGAATCAGAGATTAAAATTGCCTCTTCTCTCCCTCCCCCCCCCCTTCCCAGCATTTACTGGAGAGGAATGAAAGTTGAGAGGAAAGAAAGCAGATTCCCCATGAATTATGACTCTTGGGGGAGGGGGGGAAGCAGCTGCTATTCTATAAAGTTTCATTTTATTCTTTTTAAATCCAAAATATATTTATTTAAAGCTTGCCGCATGTGGTGAAAGTTCTGCATCTTGGTTTTTTTTTATCAATAGCAGTAGCAGCAACAACAAAACTAGTATGGATTAGTAAAAAAAAAACATTATCATATAGTTTTCATTGATCAATTTCTTCCTTTTACTTGCTTTCTATGAAACAAATTAATTATCTAGGGACAAAAAATAATGACATTTGCTAATTTAGCATTGACTTATCATTTGGAAATAACTACTTTTGAAAAGAAATTGTGACTGAAATCTTACAAAGATGTCTGGATTGTTCTTGATTATATTCTATTTAAATTTATTTTATTATAATATTGACTCTGGACTATTACATTCAGATGGATTTAAAAAATTGGTACTCATTCTCATGAATATTAATCAGTTAGTCTATATATCTGACCAACTAACATGATAATTTTATGCCTACATATCTACATATAAGTTCTATAGAATTTGGATTTCATGTTATTGTTAATTTTGTTGAAGTATTTGATGAGGATATCTGAGATAGTATAGCTAGATTATGAAGAATTAATAGTATAAGCACAGTTATATATTCAATTATTTATTACAAAGTAAAATCCTCCTTTCTTTCCATTTTGATTAGAAGGAGGATAATAGGTACCAGATTATAGCTAAGAGCCAAAAAATGTGTGCTACTTTTGTATTCACTGGCTATTTGATGGTCTGCTAAGAACTACAATTGAAATAAAAAATAGGTAATTCTCATGAAACAGTGGAAAAAATTTCTACTAACATGAATATCTGCAGACAATGTATGTGCTAGAGTGCTATTGTATGGAAATTTTCGAAGTAAAAATATAACAATAAAAGCAAAATAAAAGTGAATGTTACTGTTTCTGTTTCCTGAAGATATGTATATAATTAAAATCATATGAAACTAAATCATTACATAATTCAGAAACAGATTGTAATATTTATCAAATAAGTTCCGTTAATTAACAACTTGTTCTTTTTTGTGTGGAAGATATTGGCTAAGATTTAAATCTTGATTTAATTGTCAACAAGAAAATAAACAGTTTAATTATGTTAGGACATGATTTAATCGATTTTCCAGATTTGTAGTACATGCATTCCCTAAAACAAACAATTCGCTAATATGTTTTTATAACAAAGTATATTTTTGCAGTTAACTAGATCTTTATGAAAGGCAGTTATATTGCCTTTGAATATAACCCCAAGTCAATAGTTCTTCAGTTTATTTTTGTGATGCTTAACTTTGGAATGTCCAGAAGCAGTTGCAACAGCATACAGCATCTAGGCTACCAACCGATGCACTATACTGGGATCATGTTATGTACACTGGATGAGGAAAGTAACTCAGGGCCTTTTATAAAGTAAATATTCAGAATGATGCAGTAGTTCCTCCTTTATTTTTAGGAAATTAATTCACTCACACTTTTTGTGAGTGAATTTTTGTGAGCCGTGGTGGCGCAGTGGTTAGAATGCTATATTGCAGGCTAATTCTACTGAGTGCCAATAGTTTGATTCTCACTGGCTCAAGGTTGACTCAGTCTTCCATCCTTCTGAGGTCTGTAAAATGAGGACCCAGATTGTTGGGAGCAATATGCTGACTCTGTAATCTGCTTAGAGAGGGCTGTAAACCACTATGAAGCAGTATATGTCTAAGTGCTTTTGCTATTGCTATTTTGGACTGAGTGATAATTTAGATTAGAGCAGGGGTCCCCAGCAACTGGTCCACACAAACAAACAAAGCTCCATCCGTGGGATGCAGGCAGCACACAAAACCATGCACCCTCCGGTCCACGGAAAAACCTCTCTCCACGGAACCGGTCCCTGGTGCCCAAAAGATTGGGGATCTCTGGATTAGAGTGTACAACTTCTAGCACAGTGAGGGTTTTAATAGGCTTTCTGTAGATGTTGAGAATTGCTCTCAAAAAATAGACATCAGGGTTTTTAGGGGTAAAATGAGTTGTCTCAATGATCTTCAAGATTTGTCATTCATTATGTCCATTAAACTCCCCAAAATATACAAAGAACAAAGCCCCTAAAGTGTTGGTGGGAGGAAGGGAGAGCAACAAAAAAGATCCTTCCTTTGCACTCTCTTTGTTATTATCTTCATTCATGTTAGCGGTAAAATTAATTTGGCTTAGTCAGTATTTATCTATTGGTTCACCAAAATTATGTTTATGTTTTGTAAATATTTTAATGCTTCTTTATTTCTGCTATGTGACATGGCCTGCCATGGTAAGAGGCAGATTAGGGGTTAAATTGCTTTTGTCTTCAGAGCAGGAGAGAACATATTTTTTTTTGCTTGTTTCTGAATGCTAAGAGTAGTCTGTAAGCCCACCTTGAGACTTTTTGAATGCAGAGATCATGGCTGAAAAATTTAGCATAATTTCTAGACTCTTTTGTTCTTTATTTTCTCCTTTTTAAAATATTTTGCCAAGTAAAAGAAATCTGTAGCATGTGAAAGCTTGGTTGGTTCTAATAATGATATTATCCAATTAGGCATTTTGAATGGTTTTTCATGTAATAATAGTGTTATTATTGCTTTTTAAATATATACTTAAAAATTTGCATTTAAACCGCTTTATATTATTTTGCAGTTTCTTTTTTTAAGCTGCAGTTTTGTGGAATAGTAGGGCAACTAAAAACAACAATTTGTATTTGTTTTTAACTATCTTGCATAATTTAGTAGCTTGGTGAGTATCTTTTACTTTTACTGCTATCTTATAGCAACATTCTATTTATTGATTTGCTGTACCACTTTTTATGAAATATTGCAAAGAATCTACAGAATTAAAGTATAAATATTAATATATACATATTCATAAGAAAAAGGAGTGAATGCAGAGTTCATCTAATATTCATATATGAGACATGTAAAGAGACAGGTCTTTAATGGGTGTGTAAAGCAGGGGTGGGGCAAGTTTTAGGTGTTAAGGGCCATACCTCAATCTCCTAAAGCAGGGGTGTCAAACTGCCAGCCCGCGGGCCAGATGCGTCATTCCAAAACCGCGCCCACCCCATTGCTGGCAATGGAAAAAATGTTGCAATACATCGTGACATGTCACATGATGTTGCGAGTTTGACTCCCCTGACCTAAAGAATTGTGGGAAGCAATCCAGTGATGTTGCAATGTACTGGAAGAAGTGTGGCTGAATTTTTTTTTTTTAGTCTCCTATAAGCAAATTACTTACTTTAAGGCACAAGAAAATTGTGAAAAAAGGTAAAATTGGGCTACTAAAAATTGCACATTTGCTTTCAGATTTCAGTAGTGCAGTCTTGGATACTAGGGAGCTATGAATAGGATTGTGGGCTTCATATAGCAGGCACATCAGAAATATCAATGCGAATATCCCAGGTATGTGTTCTATCACAGAGAGGATCACAGTGAGTATTCATAACTCTGCAGTTCTTAGCTCTATATAAAGTCTCATGGTGATCTTAGTGATCCAAGACATCTGTAATGGTGAGGCTATCAGTTATAACTATCAAATAGTTATTATAGCTGTAATAGATTTTTTAAGATTCCAAATTAGTTTTTATTTAAAAATATTAAAATATAAAAGAGAAATAAGTATTCAAGAAGTCAATGCAAAAGATCCTTTAGCTAGTGTGTAGAACTATGTAAAGTACAATTTTTGTGTTGAAAACTGAACATGGTTCAATCTTTAAAGTAGGGTCAAATATTTTTAGGATTTTTTTTTTTTTTTTGGTGATAGAAGACTTGTAGAAATCTAACTAGTGGGAAGATCCTGGGATAAAATATGTATGTGTTTCTAGGTCATCTTTAGTAATGCAAGTCTATGGATTACTATTGCTATGTTTAAGTAGAACTAGAAAGTGAAATTGATCCTATTTCCTGATAGTTTCCTATGAATTCAGTTAAAATATGAAAATATATAATGATGGAAAATTGGAACAACCCATCTCACAGGATTGTTTTTGTGGGAAAAATAGGAGGAGGAAGGAGTATTATGTATGTTTACGTTTTGACTTACTTAAGAAGCATCATAACAGCATCTAGTACAGCAGGGGTCCTCAACCCTTGGTCCACGGTCTGCTGCCCATTGGGAACTGAGCCGTGCAAGCGGTGGGCAAGTATTTGAAGGTCCATTTGTGTAGGTGCAGGATTAGGTTGTGCACGTGAAACCAGTCCCTCCCCACCTGCCACCACTGCTGCTAGTTCACAGAGCTGGAAAGATTGGGGATAGCTGTAGTACAGATTAGGATTTGCTCAGTTCCACAGGATCTAGTTAATATTTTATAGATCATTCTATAACTAACTGATATCTTAAAGATTTGTTTGGCACAGTTGCTGAATGACCTGACTCTAGATATATTTCATTTATATCCTTAACCTCTTATATTGTATGTCCCTATTCTTTTCTGTACTGCAATATTTGTTTCATTTTCCAAGCCTTTCTATCATCCAAATCTATTATTCGTTGCTACATGCATTTATTTTTTCCTGTTCTATGCTCTTATTTTTCCATCAAATGTTTCTCTGTTCCCCTAAAATTTGTCTTCCCTGATATTTGTTCTGCCTCTTTTTTCAGTATCCTGGGAGGAGTTTTGTCATTTTCCATCCAAAGTTTTGTGATGGTGTTTTAATTTCCTACTTTTTCTGTCTTTTTCCTTTAGCTAGGTTAAAGGAAAGTGGGAGAGAATTCAGATGGTAGAAAAATTACTTACTCATTGGATTCATAAGAAGAC